TCCTCCTTTTCATTTTCATTTTAGACTTCTTTTTATGTCCATATTCTAGACACATGGTGGGGCTTTTTTCAGTACTATGTAAACCCCACATTCTTTCACCTCTGAATCTTTGTACATATAAGTCCCTCTGCTTGAAACCTCCTTTTTCCTCATCTAGATAAATCCTCAGTTACATGATGTGGGAGATTCTGATGGGATATCCAGGAAGCTGTTAGCTCCCAGCTAATTCAATGTGGAATGCAGACCTCCATGTTAATGCTACTCACAGTCCTGGGACCAGGAGCACCATTATCACCAGGGAACTGGTAGCAAATGCAAATGCTTGGGTTCCATCCCAGACCGACAGAGTCCCATACTACCAAAGACTGTGGTAGCAAGGCCAAGGACTTTTTTGGTTTTGTTTTTTGGCAGCTGGCTGGAACCCTTGACCTTGTTGTTATAATACCACGCCCTAACCAAGCTAACCAGCCAGCCCAGAACTCTGTTTTAACAAGCTATCAGGTAATTCTGACACATTTTCCATTTTGAGAATCACTGGTCCATGTGACAAACCCTGTTCTCATACACACTAAGCTCCCACCCTAAATTTTTAGTGACTTTCACTTAAATATAAATGGAGAGACATTTTCACTTCTGCTTAAATTGTAGAAAAAGCTGCAAAGAACATCAATCCCATTGTAACAATAAAAGCTGAATAAACTAAAAACTTTTCTTAAGCCCAGAGATCTAAGAATGCAAGATAACCAAGTAACCTGAATACCAAAGAGGGACAAGACTCCCCAGGGAAAAATGGGACACACAAACTCTCACCTGTGGCACAGCACAGGAGGGAAGAGGAGGCACTGGCCACCACCCTTGTAGGTGAAACAAAGTCAGCTAAAATTTTAAAGAACTGCCAAAGGTAAATGTGAACTAAGTGTTTTAGTCTGAATAGCCATAAGTCCAGACACAAGGGTGATTCTCCCTCTCTGGCAATCTCATTCCCACAGGCCTCCAGTGGTACCCACAAAAAAGATTAGGGGCGAGGCATGAGATTGGAGAGAGGTCCTCTTGGCAATGTAGGCATGCAGGAGGTGACTGGTGGCTATAAGAGGAGTGCATACACAGCCCTGCCTATAGGGATGAAAGGTGATCAGTGGTTGCGGGTTGGGGTGGGGACAGACACAAAGCCTACACTCCTGACACTTTTCTCCTTTGTTCTTAAAAAGGGAAGCCTTATTCCCCTGGAGAAGCAGCAAACTCTGTACCCCTGCCTCCTACAGGGAAGGGAGAGGAGATGACATCCTGGACGTAACCTCCTGTACTAATCCCAAACACTGGTCTCCTTCTATGACCTCATATATTACCTTTCATTTGGACACACCAGTAATCTCTTAACTGACTGATATCTTCGAAAATCTACCCTTCCTGTAATATCATTCTATAAATTTTTTAGCTGAATTCTTCATCCTAATTCTGGGCTCTAAAATCCTCGCTTAACTGACTGATATCTTCGAAAATCTACCCTTCCTGTAATATCATTCTATAAATTTTTTACCTGAATTCTTCATCCTAATTCTGGGCTCTAAAATCCTCAATTGTTTTGCAGTATTAAGGTACTTAGTCTCCTTAGTCCAGCATTTGTGTTTGTACAAGCTGGCTTTAATATGACTTTCAAAACTTCTCTCATGCTATTTTTCACCTATATCTTATACTACAGCTCAACTGGACTGGTTATTGTAATTCCCTAAAGATTCCATCCTTTACCAAATCCCAATCTTTGCTTAGGTAATTAGCATCAAAATAATGCAACAATATTAATAGTCAAAAGGGAAAAATATTATGATCATTTGTATACAAGTTGAACATGTGGTTGGTAAATTCCACATCTAATCCTGATGTTTAAGAAAATCTCAGTAAACTAGGTACAAAAGCCTACTTCTTTAAAAAAAAAGACAGAAAATACTTATTTCAACCAAAAGCTAGCATCACACTTAATATTAAAATACAAGAATGCCCATATCAACCTAATTGCTTAAAAATGCTCTGTAGTTCCAGCTAATTTAC